TAAAACAAGGCCCAGTTTTTATTTTGATATTTTTATTGTTTCGGAATTTTAAACTAAGTGAGAATTCTGCGGTATAAGCAGTGCTATTAAGCTCAAAGATGTGACGCAAAAATTGCTACACTTGATACAATTTGATACAAACTAAAAAAATTATTTGATATTCTTGATTTAATTTTTAATTCTTATCATTTCAGCCGATCAGTGTTGATCAGCAACAATTATTGCGAGCGCTGTTACGATCCATTTTAGTTAATATATGTTTTATATTTGTTTTAATAATGATTGACTTTGTTTATGTTGTTTTTTTATACTTTGTTTACTCAAGAATTAAAAACTACAAATTGATTTTCCTTATAAACTCAATTCTTATTATAAACTCCCTTATTATTGAATTCCCTTATAAACTCCATTCTTTTTTTAAATACTCTGTAACGCAGCTCGAACTGGTGCATTTTAATTATGTCTAGCAACTGCAAAGTTTCAAAAGAATTAATTGAAACCTATTTCTAATTTTTATAACGAACTCAAAAACTTTATTTTCTATCAGTTATATAACAACAGTGACAATAATGTAAATTTGGTTGTAAACTCTTTAAATTGTAAATATCTTAACTATTATCTCTCACTAATCATGAACCATTAAACATTGTTGGTAAAACTAAAAATCAACTAAAAAATTACATCCCACCAACAACTCCATTAAATATTACTGTTTATGATTATGATCATACTCCTCCAAAATCTTCCATTGGAGGTACTTTACTTTATATCTCTTGTAAACTAGTATACAAACCTAGGATTCTAAATATGCATAAACCAAAGTTTATGCATATTAAGAATCTGCATTTGTAGAAATCTTTGAATTTCTTAAATAATCTAATATTGCTGAAAGCTGTATTTGATGTCATTCTATTATTGCTGAAAGCTGTATTTGATGTCATTCTAATATTGCTGATAACTGTATTTGATGTCATTCTAATATTGCTGAAAGCTGTATTTGATGTCATTCTAATATTGCTGAAAGCTGTATTTGATGTCATTCTAATATTGCTGAAAGCTGTATTTGATGTCATTCTAATATTGCTGAAAGCTGTATTTGATGTCATTCTAATATTGCTGAAAGCTGTATTTGATATCATTTTAATAATGCTGAAAGCTGTATTTGATGCCATTCTAATATTGCTGAAAGCTGTATTTGATGTCATTCTAATATTGCTGAAAGCTGTATTTGATGTCATTCTAATATTGCTGAAAGCTGTATTTGATGTCATTCTAATATTGCTGAAAGCTGT